GTCCCTCAGCCCAGCCTGCACCCTCTCCAATCTGGGACCCCTTGAGGCATGTCTGACTGCCCATTTAGGACCGATCTCAATGGGATCGGTCCTAAACGGGCAGTTGGACATCCTCTACAATCCAGGACTGTTGGCTCCCAACCACTCGCCTGCCTGATTGCCCCTAACCACTTCTGCCTGCCAGCCTGATCACTCCCTAACCACTCCCCTGCCATCCTGATCGATGTGTAACTGCTCCCCTGCCAGCCCGATTTATCCTAACTGCCCTCCCCTGTCAGCCCGATTAAGCCTAACTGTCCTCCCCTGCTGGCCTTGTCACCCCTAACTGCCCTCCCCTGCCAGCCTGGTCACCCCTAACTGTCCTTCTCTGCTGGCCTGGTTGCCCTCAATTGCCCTCCCCTGCAGGCCTGGTCCCCCCCAACTTCTCTCCCCTGCTGGCCATCTTATGGCAGCCATCTTCTGTCCACATGGGGGCGGCCATCTTGTATGTTGGAGTGATGGTAAATTTGCATATTACCTCTTTTTTATATAGGATATGTATTTTTTTTTCTTTTTTGTATTTAGTTTTTTACTTTTCTTCTTATACACTCATTCTCTACCCACCTCCTCTATACTGAATTGTGGCTATTTTCCCATTTATTTCCTTGACCTTATCTTCTGGAAATAAGCTCTGCTTCCTCAGATTCATCTGGCTGTTTATTGTTTGGGGGGTTGTAGTTTACATATTTTGGATTAGTTATTGTTTGTAGTTTGCATTCATCTCTGGTGTTTGTTGTTTGCAGTTTTTGGATTAGTTGCTGTTTTATTGAATATTCTTCCAATATACATATACTTTCCCTCCTTTTTTCTTCTCTTTCTTTCCTCTCTTACATTTTTTTCCTCTTCTCAATATCATTTTTGCACACTTTTCTATCCCCTAACTCTCTTTTTTCTGGTGGTCACCTTTATTTGGGGTAATAGTGTTTGGTACCCTCTGCGTTGTGTCTTGTTCTGTTGTATGTTGTGCCTTTCAGTCAATGCAGGAGAGAGAGAGCTACATAACCAGACATCCAGAGAGGAGCAATCATGGGGAGACAAAGAAATAGCCCACATACAAAAGAAAAGAAGAAATCACCAGAAAAGGAAGTAAACAAAATGGAGGCAAGCAATATGTCAGAGAAAGAATTCAGAGCAATGGTCATAAGGTCACCGAAAAGAATGGAGGACAAATTCAACATGTGTAAGAACCAAGAGGAAATGAAGAAGAACCAAAAAGAAATGAAAAATGACATGACTGCAATAAAGAACTCAATAGAAAGCATCAACAGTAGACTAGAAGAAGCAGAGGACCACATCAGTGAGCTAGAAGACAAGGTAGGAAAAAATACCAAAGCAAAGCAGCATCTAGAAAAAAAAAAACCAATAAAAAATCAAACACCTGGAAGCTAAATAGTATGCCACTAAACAATGATTGGGTTACTAAAGAGATCAAAGAAGAAATAAAAAGCATCATGGCAACAAATGACAATGAAAACACAACCATCCAACATCTATGGGACACAGTGAAAGTGGTCTTGAGAGGGAAGTTCATAGCTCTACTGGCCTATCTCCAAAAAACAAGTACAATGGCAATAAATTATCTAACCCTACAACTCAAAGAGTTAGAGAGGAACAAGAAAAGCCCAGCGTAAGCAGAAGGAAGAAAATAATAAAGATCAGAGGGGAGGTAAACAATATAGAGACAAAAAAAAGGAATACAAAAGATCAACCAAACCAAGAGCTGGTTCTTTGAAAAGATAAACATGGAAATTCTTTTTAAAAAATATTTTTATTGATATTAGAGAGAGGAAAGGAGAGGGAAAGAGAAAAATCATTGAAAGAAAAACTTCAATTAGCTGCTTATTGCATGTCCCTTACTGGGGATTGGTGCCGAAACCTGGGCATGTGCCCTGACCAGGAATCAAACCAGAAACCTCTTGGTGCACAGACCAATGCTCAACTAACTCAGCCACACAGGCCAGGGAAAATTGGAAATTCTTGATTCTAGAGTCAGAATTTTCATTGCTACAGGCCAGCAGGACTCTGGGTACATGTGTCCCTTCCAGGCTTATCAGGATACCAACAATCTAGAGTCCCATTTTTAAAAAAATATATTTTATTGATTTTCTACAGAGAGGAAGGGAGAGGGACAGAGAGCCAGAAACATCGATGAGAGAGAAACATCAATTCAGCTGCCTCCTGCACACTCCCCACTGGATATGTGCCCGCAACCAAGATAAATGCCCCTTGACCGGAATCGAACCCGGGACCCTTGAATCCGCAGGCCTACGCTCTATCCACTGAGCCAAACCGGTTAGGGCTGGAATCCCATTTTTATATGTTGAGTTCAGCTGTCTCCTTCCCCACCAACGTCAATGTATACAGAGAGCCAGTGCACAAAAAGCACCCACCCTCAACCTCTCCACACACCCCATGGAGGAGGACTGTGCCACTGACATGCCGACCTACATCCTGCTCTCCACTCGCTCCCCACAACCTGGGCGGCAGGGAAGATGAAGCTGGATGTAGGCCTTTGTACAACCAGCAGAACATTATGCTCACTATTGTGATGTGGGTATTTAGAACCATCATCTTTTCCTCTGGGTCTCACATCATCAGCACCAATATGAAGTCATTGGAGCACCCAGCCACATGGACCCAAGGGGACATTCTGAAGCTGCCTGGACCTCAATATCTCCCTCAGCCTCTTACAATACAATTGTACCATCTCCTACATCTTTATGGCACTTCATCATTGAGAAAGCTCTCTAACTGGCATCATCTCATCTAAGCTTTCTGAGCTGTAATGGGTCAGTAGAATAATTTTTAAAAATAAAGGGTGAAATGGACTCAGAGAGGTTGAGTAAGTTACAGGAGGTCACAGAGAAGTGGGAGATCACTTGTCCTAGTCTGGAGTCCTTTCTACAACACCAAACAAATTATAGACATGGAAACAAATACACTTTTGGAGAGAGCTAAAACTCCTTACGGGAATAAGCTTTCCATTACACATTTAGAGATTAAGCCTAAATGCAAACCTTCCCCTGATGGTGGGACAGCATTAACAAACGTACCCCAGGCTTCCACATATTTAAAAATATTAAACTAATTCCAGGGTTATAGGCTTGATTTAAGACATGGTAGTTAATAGAAAAGTTCTAGATAGAAAATAATTTTAGCAAAATTGTACATCTGTATATATGCACACGTTTAGAAAACATATTGCTTTTGATGTTTGTGCCATTTCTTAGTTATCATTTTATATGCTGTATCCACACCTGCTTCAACCATATACTTTAACCCACCATATTACTTTTTAGTTATGTAAGACTCATTTTCAGTTAATGAGAAATAATTAATATGTTTTAACCAATGAAGCACTTTCATGAGTAAAAATCCAGATTTTTATAATAAGTTTCTAGGAATAGCTCAGTTTTCACATTTAATATCTGAACCTCACATTTATCACAGGTAGCACGAAATTGCTTTTATTTTAAAGAACAGTTATATATTAAGAGCAAAGAGTATAAAATCAATAAATACACTCCCCTGTATCATATGTGTGTGCCACATTTCCCTAAGAAATTTCCTGCATTTAGACATCCTGGTCCATATTCATCTAAAAGTCTGAGTATACCCTTTCCCTGGCAGTTTTTACCTTTGGGCTTTGGTACATTTCATAGAAAGGAAAATACAGGCAGTGGAAGTAGAGGCAGAAGTAGAAGACTTCGAGCACAAGAGCCCATCAAGTGTGTGCTGGGGACAAGTAAAATGAGGACCTCTCCCACTGGGCTTCAGTGACTAAGGGTGGCAACGGTACAAAACGTGCAAGAAGTCAAAGAAATCCTTTTCCTTAATGGGAAAGACGACACCATGCAACGTGAGTGGAGTGATTAAGAAAAATGTTTATTGGATTCAATTAATCCGCTGATGGCTCATCTATCCTTCACTTGGATTTTAAAAATATGCCTGAAAAAGGTTTTCACATAATTTTTTGTTTCTTGTTTTCCCATGGAAACCTCCCATGTATAATTTATTGACAACATCTCTGAAGAACAGAATTATTGATGTTGTTTGTCTGATGTGCCAGATGATGAAGGAGCCAGAAGACAGCTACAAGTGAAAGCCTTTGTATGATCTCAAAATGTCAGGACAGTGCGGATACTGAAACACAAAATAAAAGATATTATTTTAATATTTATGTAGTTCACATTCTTCCATGTAAGAGTCCAGGGGCATTTGATGTGTCTCACTGAACAGGTGTCTGTGTTTCTTGCCACTCCCTTCCCATCCCTATGTATTCAAGTCAAAGATAGTTCACCTTTTCTGGGTTTGGTCTTGTGTTTTCTCCAACCTTAAACTCAAACCTAAACATGGCTGTCATTTAGGCTTTATAATCAACTAGAGGCACGGTGCACAAATTTGTGCATGGGTAGGGTCCCAAGAAGGGTGGGGGCCCCAGGACACGATCGGCCCTCCAGGCAGGCAGTGGGATGCCCTTGCCGGCCTGGGATCTGGATCCGTCCTGCCGACGTTCGTGCCGGTTGTCGGGACCCACCTGGCAGCCACTTTTATAGCCTTTCTTCCCTGCAAAGCATCTAGGGAGGGGAAGCGGCCACGGTGCCTGAAGTGGACTTCCAGGGGGCTGGTGGCACTGTCAGGATTGTGCTGATGATGCTGGTCCATTTGTGCCTGGCCCGTTCTCCAGAGATTGGACCTGCAAAACTATTGAGGGAGTGGCTGCTGCCAGGCTGGTGTTCCCGCTGTGGGAGCATACTGACCACCAGGGGGCAGCTTCTGCGTTGAGTGTCTGCCCCCTGGTGGTCAGTGTGCATCATAGTGACTGGTCGTTCTGGTCATTCTGGTCATTCCAGCTGTTTGGTCTTTCGGTCGCTTAGGCTTTTATATATATAGATTAGGATTCTCAAAAAACATTTTTGAGATCCTACATGCCTGGCATAATAATGAATTGAAAACAACAATGGGTAATAAGTTCTTGCTGTTTATCACATACTCCATAGATGTTTCTTGTGCATTTTATCACTTAAACTCAACAATGCTATGAGGTAGGCTTTAAAGATTAGAGATTAAAAATTCTGAGGCTTAGAGATATTTGTAACTTGCTCTAGGTCACACATCTAGTGTAAAGTGCTGGGATTTAAACCTGAATACAAAATTGCACAAATTACAAGATGACAAGTAACTGGCCTGAAGGAAGCAATGATATAATAGTAAATGATGAAGATTTAATAGAGCTCTGATAAAGTGGTGCTTAAGGAGCCTTAGTAAGAAGATAAAGCTAGAGAGACTCCATTCTTGATAAGATCAGCTATATAATATTTACACTATAACTCATGTCCTTTCTTAAAATCATCTTCTGTTGGATACTTTTAGAAAAATGTGTTCATGCCTTTAAAAATTATTTATATGATATATCATATTATATTAAATGTTACATTATATTAAAACAATCCCAATGTAGCTCCACCTACTCCTATATATAATTTGCATTTACAGCCATTAATGGTCAACCTTTTAGCTGGCCAGGCAGAAGCTGCAGTGACTCCATGTTATGCTTATGACTGTGGGACTCTGATTCTTATTCTTAGCAAGGGTGAGTCTTCTTTTGTATATAAAGATGAGTGGCTTTGATCATTTAGATTCACTGTAACCAGCATATGTAATTTCATTTCAGCAGAACAATGTTTCAGCAGGAAATGCAAAACAACTGTTCCTAGCTTCTCACAATATGATCTTAAATGTTCTACATGCAAAGACTGAACTAGTAATGGAAAACCAAGGCACTCCAATGTTTTTCTCGTACTTTCACCTCTTTTCTCTGTTAATCAAACCCCCACCATAAAAGGAAACTTAAAAATTACCTCTTTCCAGAACGAAGCAGGTCAAATGCTTCATTTATTTTTTCAAAAGGTAAAACATGGGTTATTAATGG